TACGGCCGGGACAGGGCATCACAATATGGTAAGGGGCGTAACATTTCCGTCACACGCTTGAGGTATTCGGCCAATAACAACGCACTGGATAGCTGGCCAATCAGAGCACACCTCGCTTTTCAGACCGATGAGCTTCGAAAAAATCTACGCGTTTCAGAAAGGCGGGGCATAGAGAAGAATCAATAATGTACAGTATGTGGAAAATAATGTGTTTTTTGAACCTTAAACCACATAAACACATTTCATTACACCAAATAAACAAAATAATGTTCTTTTTAGCAACATCATATGACCCCTTTAAGATCTGACGCACAGATCCAATATAATGATACACATCCGATTTCTTTCTCATCGCGCGAGCACCGAATTGAGTTCGCTTTAGCCTGTTCTTGCAGTGGAATGGTTTAAAATCACTTGAGTGTGTAAACAAGTACAAATGATTAACTTTCACTTTATTATAGTTAAATTTTGCAGTAAATCCACGGATCACATGCGTGCCGAACCTCTAATCAATGTTGCCAACTTCTTTCAATGGAAAGTAGCTAAAGCCTGCTAGAAAAGTCATTAAATGTCGCTAGATGACGTCATGCGTTAATTAGCATATTCTTCACTTCATTGCGTCGTATTTGCATTCTGCCTAGTGTCAACCTTTTATGTTTGTTTGTCTCTCTCCTTCTCAGTTCTCCCATACTGAATTAATACAGCCAATTTCTCAATAAAACAGTTTTCATTGTTATATTTTTCTGTTTCTCTTGTCAGACAATGAGCTTAATAAGAAATAGTGGAACAACACAGCCCATTAAGGCTACACAACCAGCTCTCCCTTCCAAGCTGTTAATCTGCACTAAAATCCTGATTTAAAATCAAGACACCGTCAGACAAAATCAAATACACATAAGTTAAAGACAATGGCTGTGCTGTGATTTTGGCTATAATTACATGTAAAATGATAATTCAGGTTAGAAGCAACATAATATCTATTTTAACTGCACTTTGCCTATGTCTGCTAATACACTACTTTCTTTTTCTATTGGTCTCTGGAATTGTCAGTCTGCAGTAAACAAAGCAGATTTCATAACATATATTACTAGTCATTCAAGACTTAACCTCTTGGCCCTGACAGAGACGTGGATCAAAACAGAAGACACTGCTACTCCTGCAGCACTCTCCAATAATTTCTCATTTTCCCACACTCCCCGTCTGACTGGAAGAGTCTGTACTGGCTTATCTCTATTGCCAGTCTGCTGTAAACAAAGCAGATTTTATTACTTCTATTACAAGTCATTCAAGACTAAACCTCATGGCCCTGACAGAGACGTGGATCAAACCAGAGGACACTGCTACACCTGCAGCACTCTCCAATAATTTCTCATTTTCCCACACTCCCCGTCTGACTGGAAGAGTCTGTACTGGTCTGCTTATCTCTAATGATTGGAAATGTATTCCTTTACCTTCTCTGGGTATTAATAGCTCCTTTGAATCACATTCAGTCACTATTACCCACCCTTTTAACATCCATTTTGTAATTGTTTATTGACACCCAGGACCACAAGGTAACTTCTTGGATGAATTAGATGTGCTACTCTCAACCTTTCCTTAGGATGGTACTCCCCTAGTTATGCTTGGAGACTTCAACATCCACCTAGATGAACCTCAGGCTGCAGACTTCCACACTCTGCTTGCCTCCTTTGATCTCAAGAGAGTGTTAACTATGACTACTCACAAATCAGGCAACCAACTGGACCTTATTTACACACGACACTGCTCCACTGATCATGTACTGGTTACTCCACTGCACACCTCGGATCACTTCCTCCTCACTCTGTCTCCAAACTCATCCTTTCTAATCATCCTAATACTTTTCCGCTTGTTCCTATCCCATCTCATCTCCTTCAAGCCATTTCTCCTGCAGTTATACCTGAACTCACTCACTTCATTAACACATCCCTTCACACGGGTGTTTTTCCCTCAGCATTTAGACAGGCTCGTATAACCCCTCTACTTGCTATGCTGATGACACTCAACTCTACCTCTCATTCCATCCTGATGATCCGACGATAGCTGCTCGCATCTCAGCATGTCTAACAGACATTTCTTGTTGGATGACGGACCATCACCTTCAACTCAACCTGGCTAAGACAGAACTGCTTGTGGTTTCAACAAACCCATCACTTTATCAAAATTTCACCATCTAGTTAGGCTCATCAACCATAACTCCTTCAAAAACAGCTAGAAACCTTGGAGTTATGATTGATGATCAGCTGGCTTTCTCAGACCACATTGCTAAAATTGCCCGGTCCTGCAGATTTGCTTTATTCAACATCAAGAAAATCAGGCCCTTTCTTTCAGAACAAGCTTCACAACTCCTTGGTCAAGCTCTTGTTCTGTCCAGGTTGGACTATTGCAATGCTCTCTTGGCAGGTCTTCCAGCCAGTTCTATCAAACCTTTACAATTAATCCAGAACTTGGCAACAAGATACATTTTTAATGAGCGGAAAAGAATGCACGTCACACCTCTGTTTATCGATTTGCACTGGCTACCAATAGCTGCTCGCATAAAATTCAAGGCATTAATGTTTGCCTACAAAACCACCACTGGCTCTGCCCCCCTTTACCTAAATTCATTACTTCAGACTTCCCTCTAGAAGCTTGCATTCTGCAAGTGAACGTCGCTTTATCATGCCATCCCAAAGAGGCACAAAATCACTTTCACTGACTTTTAAATTAAATGTTCCCTCCTGGTGGAATGACCTGCCCAACTCAATCCGAGCAGCTGAGTCCTTAGCCATCTTCAAGAATCGGCTAAAAACACATTTCTTCCATCTTTATTTGACCCTCTAGCTGTAGGACTCTCTATTCTACCGTATTGTCCCGAATATAAGAAGATGTTTTTTTCTTGGAAATACATCTGAAAAAAACGTGGTCGTCTTATATTCAGGGTCTAGACTTTGACATGTCAATAATACACCCACAACAATAGGTGGCGCCAAATACGCATAAAACGAGTGTGCCATGAAATACGTAATGTAATGCGTGTTGTAAAGATCGCGAGTGAAAACAAAAGAAAAAGAAAACCTTACAGCTGCATGAGTCGTGACTGTCACGTTAGCCTGATGGGACCAAACTCCCTTTGTGATTTTAAAAGGTAAGGCAGTACCCAGATCTGAAGACTATAGTAAGATTTAACTTCTACTGTTAATAAGATGTTGGTAGGCTACTATTAGATGGATAGCCTAAATGTCCTAATTCAGATGGACTACCTGTTTTGTTTTGTTTTTTAATGGTATATCAAAAAGTGTATATTTTTAAAATGTGATTGTTGGTACATTTTACCAGTTTTTACCATACTTTCAAAACAAAAATTAAAATAGGAAAAATATGCAATATGAAAATAATTGAAGACAAAATGTGTTTTACTGAGAAAAAACAAGATTTGGTTTTTAAAAAGCCTTTTTCCAAAAGGTACAAATGGAAAAAGTCTTATAATCGGGGTCGTCTTATATTCGGGCCAATACAGTAATTCTATTCTTTAAAAAAAAAAACTTGCCCCTTTTAGACTTGCATTCTATTCATTTACTAACTGCTTGTTTTCTTAAAAAAAGCTTGCTCTATTCTTTTTCTATTCTATTTTTATATATTATATAATAAAAAAAAAAAACCTTGCTACGTGTACTGCGTTAAGCGAACTGAGACTTGTTATAGCACTTACATATCATTGCTCTCTTGTTGATTTTGATTGCTTCCATTGTCCTCATTTGTGAATCGCTTTGGATAAAAGCGTCTGCTAAATGACTAAATGTAAATGTAAACTGAAAGTGCTGCTCCTCTCAGTCACTCACTTAACAGAGCAGACGCAGAGAGGTGTGTGTGTGTGTGCAGCGGGAAAACAAAACTTTGTGCTCGTGTGGCAGTACCGGCGAGTCTCAGAGACTAAATAAGGTTTGTCCAACAAATCGCTAGATAATTCGCTAGGTGCTTTTTTGGAAAAAAGTCGCTAAATGGGTCTGAAAAGTCGCTAAATTTAGCGACAAAGTCACTAAGATGGCAATGCTGCCCCTAATTATAATACAACTATTTTCAACTATTTTCAATTTTCAACAATAAGAAGCATTACTTGAGCACCAATTCAGCATACACTGAAAATAAAAAAAATATTTACTGTATTTTGATGAGTGAGTGATGTGACGTGTGGCCAAGTATGGTGTCCCGGAATTTGTGCTCTGCATTTATCCCATCCAAGTGCACACACACAGCAGTGAGTAGTGAACACACACAAACACACACACACACAGTGAACACACACCCGGAGCAGTGGGCAGCCATTTTTGCTGCGGCGCCCGGGGAGCAGTTGTGTGTTTGGTGCCTTCCTCAAGGGCACCTCAGTCGTGGTATTGAGGGTGGAAGAGAGCACGTTTCATTCACTCCCCCACCTGCAATCCCTGCCGGTACCGACACTCGAACCGGTGACATTTGGGTTACAAGTCCGACTTCTCTAACCATTAGTCTACGGCTGCCCAAGATCAAATAAATGCAGCCTTGGTGAGCATAAAAGCACACATTTCATTTGAAAAAAATAAAAATAAATAAAAATAACGACCACAATTTTGAACAGTAGTGTGAAATATATACGTTAACAGCATTATAGTGTATTTACAGGTTTCGTAAAAAGTGTTATCTTTTGGGCAAATGTGACACCAAGAAACCCAAAATGAACTGAAAGCATCAGTGTGGGTAGCAATCCCTAGACTCAGATGTTAAGGGTTATTTAGCCTGGCTAATGGTTCCATCACATTCCCTACTTCATTATTCATTATTGACTGTGTTATTGATCCAAATCTAATCTGTGCTTCCTAATTTATGAGCAGCTGTTAGATGTATTTGTGTGTAATCTGCATGTTTATGACTGTTTCTGTGACTTTTTAGCGTTCTGTGGAGAGTTATGTAGATAAACGAATGGGAACCACGTATGGCCCTCCGGCAGGGAAAAAAATGTCCATCTTTATTGACGACATCAATATGCCTGTGATCAATGAGTGGGGTGACCAGGTAAGAAACTGCATATGAAAAAAGCTGCCTAAATAGTTCCTTTAAGCTGCATAATGTAACACACACTATTTGTATGTTTGTGCTTTTTTTATGTGGTAAAGTTTAATTCCCAAGAAGCACAGGTGAATTCATTAAACAGTTTCAAGACAAATACCTGCATCCTATTCACTAACCACCCAAAATAATTTTTTTAAGGTCTATCTGTGCTGTTACAGGCAAACAGGTCTCCTCAGCATTGTTTGCCTTGTATAATTTATGTTGCACTAATCTCTCCCTCTGAAAGCAGGTGGTAGACATTATTTTGTTTAAAGGAGACAGTTGTGTACATTTTCTGTTCGACATGTCAGCAGTCATTTATCAAATTATGATATAATACATTGTTGATTATAAATCAAGACACTTGATTTGCATAATTCCTTTTTAGTGCACTGGTGCTAAAACATCTACTCTCTCAATGTGGACTCTCTATTTGCAAAGTTTGAACAAAAAAAAAAAACATGTTGACAGAACCCATTTACTCTCTTCACAGGTCACCAATGAGATAGTTCGGCAGCTGATGGAGCAAAATGGCTTCTTTAACCTGGAGAAACCAGGAGAATTCACCAACATTGTGGATATCCAATTCTTGGCAGCTATGATCCATCCTGGAGGGGGACGAAATGACATTCCCCAGAGACTGAAGAGACAGTTTTCTATTTTCAACTGTACTCTTCCTTCCAATGCCTCCATAGACAAGATTTTTGGTTAGTATTATGGTCTGTCATTTGCAAAAAAAAAACCATTACTTTAGGATAAAAAAAAAAACTAAAGGGCACTTTGAAACACAATTGTTTCACCCCTTTGTCTCAAAATTGTAGCAATAACATGCAATCACAGACAGCATTATTCATCAATATTCAGCACACTACAAAATTTAGTCCAAATTGTAATCTTATTCTAAATATGACAGTATTTTGCTCTTTGTGGTTGTGTCATTGTTTCCTTCTTCAAATCTTTGCAGTTCTTTGGTTATGGAGCTGTAGGACATGCACAAAGTATTTCAAATTTACCATTGTTTATATATTGACATTTTAAAATAATCCATCAAATGATCTATTTAGACATGCATTTTAATATGCTATAAAAGGCAGACAAACCCCCAAAATAAGTATGTGGAACATGCTTCTTGGCTTGGCTCAGAGAAATATGATTTATCACATCTCATTTAATTCGGTCAAGGTTGTCAACAGCTTTGCTTAAGCAGAACCATTTTTGTAATTGCGTATTGATTCTGACTATGGGTTGTTGTTAGTGGTTCTCTCTCTGCTTGAAGGCCTGAATCTTTATATTGAAGATATAAGTGAATATTTATATCACAGTTTTGAAATGATATTTCAGGCTCACATGCAGGTTAGCCTCCAATCTCGATGTGTGTGTAATATTGTCACTTGTGACAATTGTCATTCTTATTCAGCTCAGTATTCTATCATTCAGAAAGGCCACATTTGCTCATTCTGTCCACTTTTGTGAATTTCCTGTCTGTTAACTACAATCCTTTCTCATTCACTTTAATATGCCATTTACATCTTTTGCTGCCACAGGTGTGATAGGCACTGGTCATTACTGTTCCCGTCGGGGATTTTCAGAAGAAGTACGCAATACAGTGGTCAGGCTGGTTCCACTGACTCGAAAACTATGGCAAATGACAAAGGTTAAAATGCTGCCCACTCCCGCCAACTTCCACTACATTTTTAACCTGCGTGACCTCTCCCGCATCTGGCAGGGAATGCTCAGCGTGACTGCAGAGGTTATTAGCTCGTCTGATGTGAGTGGAACTGTATTTCTGATCTTATTCAGACTCTCAAGGAACAATCTGAATGAAATTTCAGTAACCCATGATTACAGATTACATCATATTAAGCAAGTTGTATGTATGTATGTATTTCCTTTAATTGCCATCCATTTGTCCATTCTTGTATAGTTTTGATTGAGATTCCACTTAATAATTCTGATTCCTAAACTGATCCCTTAATTCCATTAATGATTCTACTTTATTTGATAACATGTAATACTTCTGGCTCAATAGATTCATTAATTTGCATATTAGACTACACTGGTTGCATTATGTTTGTTGTTGCCAGTAAGAAAAATACAATAGAAGTTCATGTTAACTGTTAATGGAATCAACTGTTAATGTAAACAACTTTCAATATTTTTGTTTATTCCCATATTCTTTCAATGAAACCCAACGTACATTGCTTAAACAGAAAGATTTTGTATAAAATATTGGTCCAGGTATTACTACGGCTGTGGAAGCATGAATGCAAACGTGTTATTGCTGACCGGTTTACTGCCCCAGAGGATGTGGCCTGGTTTGACTACACACTGGCCAAGCTGGTGGAAGAAGAGCTTGGGGAAGAAGAACGAATGGTGGTGGATCTTGGGGTGGATTCCTACTTTGTGGACTTTCTCAGAGATGCACCTGAGGCCACAGGTAATGATCAGAACAAATCCAAAACCAAATAAAAATCCAAATATAATGACAATGTTTTTTTATTATTAAATTGAGTAAAGTATTAAGTTACCAGTGCCAGTTCTGTCTAATAAATGTGTTTAGTAGCATTGTTCTTTGCTGTTTTTTTAGTATGCCGACAAGAGTAAAAATAACTTCCCTCTGGCATAACCAAGATGGTCACCAAAGAATTGACTTGCCTTAAAAGGACTTTGAACATGCCTATTAAGGACCTACCCAAATATTATTTGTATTAATTTGATTTTCGTTTAAAGGAACACGCTACTATTTTTGAAAATAGGCTCATTTTCCAACTCCCCTAGAGTTAAACAGTTGAGTTTTACCGTTTTTGAATCCATTCAGCCGATCTCCGGGTCTGGCGGTAGCACTTTTAGCTGTAGCTTAGCATAGATCATTGAATCTGATTAGACCGTTAGCATCTCGCTCAAAAATGACCAAAGAGTTTTGATATTTTTCCTATTTAAAACTTGACTCTTCTGTAGTTACATCGTGTACTAAGACCGACGGAAAATGAAAAGTTATTACGCAGCGCCTAGCTGAGAACTATTTTCAGGCGCTGCGTAATATCATTGCGCCTGCTGCACCCATGGTACGGCAGCAAAATTCCTTGATTATTACGCCGGAATGAGAGTATAGTTCCTAGCCATATCGGCCTAGAAAATCGCAACTTTTCATTTTCCGTCGGTCTTAGTACACGATGTAACTACAGAAGAGTCAAGTTTTAAATAGGAAAAATATCAAAACTCTTTGGTCATTTTTGAGAGAGATGCTAACGGTTTAATATTTATTTTCTATTATCTATTTTCAAAAATAGTGGAGTGTATGATATAAGTAAGATATTTCCTAACATTGCTTTCATAATATTTGCAACTTCTCTTCTGAATTGAAATGAAATATCTAGGACTGATGTATTATATACAGGTGAAGAGCCAGAGGAAACTGATTTCGACATGCCAAAAGTATACGAGCCCATCAAATCCTTTGATAGTCTAATGGAGAGGCTGAACATGTTTTTGAGTCATTATAACGAGAGTATCAGAGGAGCAGGCATGGATATGGTCTTCTTCAGGGATGCCATGATTCATCTGGTTAAGGTACATAGAATACAGTATCTTACTACACTGATGTTTCTTGTATCTCTGTATTGACAGCGTATTATCATCAGGGCTCAACCCTGGCCAGTTGAGTAATCCTGCCCTTGATATCATAAGAATGTTTTTTAGGGCTCAAAAAAAAAAAGAAAAGATAACCTTGCTATAAGATATTAGCATCATTCTAGCATGAAAAAGAAAAAGAAATGTAGTGCTCACAAGAAATTTAGATGATTCCAATTTATTTTTTCATGCTGATTACAGGACCTACACATGTCCTACTTTAGCGAAGAGTACACATAAGTACAAATAAGTTTCTTTATGTAAAGTGTGTGTATAAATGTTTTGCATGGTAATGAGGTTGCATCTGTCTCTACCTTTTTTCTCTCTTGCACACTCTTTCCCCAGATTTCTCGGATTATCAGGACCCCTCGGGGAAATGGCCTTCTGGTCGGTGTAGGGGGATCTGGAAAACAGAGTCTGACAAGACTAGCATCTTTCATCGCTGGCTACAAGACTTTCCAGATTACACTCACCCGGTGAGTCACCTTCACGTACTCAATCATTTATAGCCTCTTTATTCAAATTCACTTTTCCCCTCCAGATGAACAGTGTCTCTTGTTATTTGAGTAGCAGATCTACATCATCACATGTCTAGACAAGATTTATAATGCAACTCATTATTACATAGTAATAACATAGTTATAGCACAGTAATATACATGTGTCACTGTAATAGCAGTGCTTTTGTTGTCTATGTTTATGTCAAAAGTCAATAAGAACAATGTATATATATAATATATATAATACCAATACTACTATATATAATACCAATTCTACTATACAGTGCCTTGCGAATGTATTCATACTTTTTTTTGTTGCTGCCTTATGTTAAACTGCTTTAAATTAGTTTTTTTCCACAACTATCTACACTCCATACACCATAATTGTCAAGCAAAAAAACAGGTTTTTAACGTCTTTGCAAATTTATTAAAAATAAAAAAATAAAATGATTCCATTATCTGCGACAGTTGAAATTTAGCTCAGGGGCATTCATTTTGCTTGTAGATATTACTACACTTCAAGGGAAGTTAACCTGTGGCAAATTCAATTGAATGGGTATGATTTGGAAGGGCGCACACGTCTTAATAAAAGGTCTAACAGCTGATAATGCATATCAGAGCAAAAACCAAGCCCTGAGGACAAAAGAACTGCCTGTAGAGCTCAGAAACAGATTTGCGTCAAGCCACACATCTGTGGAAGAGTTCAGAAAAAAATTCTGCTTCATTGAAGGGTCACAGAAGCATGTAGTCTCTGTTACCCCTAATGGAAGAAGTTAGAAACAACCAGGACTCTTCCTAGAGCTGGCCAAACTGAGCAAATGATGGAGAAGATGGTTGAGCTCCATGATCATATGTGGAGATAGGAGAAATCTACAGAAGGACAAACATCAATGCAACACTCCACCGATCTGGGCTTTATGTGTGGCAAAACTCAATCCTCTCCTCAGTGAAGACACATGAAAACACACTTGGATTTTGCATAAAAAC